TTCATAATAGTATTTTACTTTATCTCTTAAAAATGACAAAAATCTGAATTCACTAAAAATACTTCGACGGATAGATGTACGAGAATGAGGTAAACACTCTCCGCGCAATTTCACAAAAGAAAAAGAACGCGTCTACAAATTGATTCTTAGAAAAATAGATTCTTCATTAAAGCTAGCTGGCAATCAACCATCTCTTCTCACAGACGATGAAGTGAAATAGATTGAATCTCGGTTAACTTTAATCATCGTTTACGAGGTGTCGTTTACGAGATGTCGATGTATGGCACGAGCATCAAAACAATGTGCGTTTAGCGTGCGTATATTTAAGAGACGATCGGAAACAGGTGCGTCCGCTTCCGCAGGCCGTCGCGCCCAGGAAGACACCGTACACCAAAGCGGTCCAGACTATCACGCCGACCGCAGCGGCCGCCAGTATCAGATGCGCTCGATGACGAACGCGATCCAGGATCCACAGCATCCACTTGCGGTCCACCGCTCTCCCAGGAGACGCCGTGCGACGCAAGGATGCGGTCGCTGCGTTCTAGACATGCGCGGTTATCAGAGAATATCCAAGGAACATAAGCCAAGCTATTAATTTCATCCAAAAGGTGAAAATAATAACTCTTGTAACGGGTTATCCTTTGGAGACAAACAATTCGATTACATCGGAAAGCTTTTAAGTAAATTACAATCGCACGTTCGACTCGCATCTCTTCACAGAGAGAAATGATTTTTGCTGAAGTCTAAAAGTTTAGCTTAACACAAATATGAAAATAATTTTATTAAACTATCAGAATAATTAATATGCAAGACATTCTAGGTGGAACATCAAAACTTTTTACTATATTGTTCATCATGCTTAAATTTTCCACATAAATATTTTGATGGTTCACCAAAATTATTTCCAGATTTGCAATATCTAGTTAAAATACAATAAACAAAGCATTTAAAACAGGTTAATGAGAATCAGCACAAATATATGAGCGCAAAATTTATTAAGATTGAAGATAATTACTCAGACGATTATAATAATGTCTCCTTTATTATATTTGAACGTTTCAATTCTCTTTTCTGAGTCCTTCTCAGCAATATTAAAATAGACGAAGTCGCCCATTCACTGGGAGCAAGTCACTCACAGATTGACAAAACTAAAGTGATGTTAAATTGAGATTTATCTCAATGGAAAAGAGCGACAACAAGAACTTCGGAACCGTATTAATTAACAAAAAAAAATATATTACAAACGTCAAGATATATTGATCGCAACAATGTTTGTATTCCGTTCGTACAGCATAACGTATTAATTAAAATTGAACGTTAATTGTATTTAATTAAATTTTTATATTTCAGCAAAATTATTCTTTTCGATCGATGCATAGAGGGTGAAAAGATATTTTTTATTTTATTAATTCTGACTAACTTTACTTTATTGATAACCGATTAGTCGAGAAACTGAATGATCAAAGATAGCAAAATCTGCTTTTTTTTCAACCCTTACTGCGCTCGTCCCTCCGACAATTCGTTTTGCAACTGCAGCAGCTTTCTGCGCTTCGTACACATTGCCGTGCGATTCGTTGAACGCCTGCTCTACTTTGCTCTCCACCTCGTACAGATCATCGTGTGGCTCGTGTACTTCACTGTACACTTCGTGGACTTCATTGTTGAGCGCTTCATGCATTTCAGTGGGCATTTCATTATGCACCTTCTCGCGCGCCTCGTCGCTCGCAGTCAGTAAACGTTCGTCCTACGACAAACAGATTTTCCCTGTACACTGAGAAAAAAATTTACTGAATTTTTTAATATTTCTTTGAATAGTCATAGCGGAATATTTACTAAATGTAAACACGTATTAGATAGCATTAATATCATTTTTTCATTTATCTAAATATTTACTTACCGTAAGTAAATATTCCGCAGGACTATTTAAAGAAATATTTATTAAAATTTAATAATTTTTTTTTCTCAGTATCTAAAACTACTACTAACTGCTGATTGCTAGAAGACAAGACTTTTTTTTAGCTTCCCGTATAGATGCGGGATTTCACGGGAACTATCTCTTAGCAATTTTGATCTTTGGATATGTAAGACATTAAAATTGTACAATATGAATTTTAAACCATGTATTAAACAATGATTTTTACAGATATTTTCGCTAAAAGATATAGTCGCTAAAAATAAATTCGTAAATTCCGAAACATAATAAGTGTTGTAAATTTTAAATCTTAAGAAATTGATTAGGCACAATTGAACGTGAGAAAAATACTCGACCATGATTGGTTAATTTCTTAAAGTTTAAAGTACTGCACTTATTGTATTTCGAGATTAATGTCCATTTCTACCCTTGTAGACCATTGTAGATTAACTGTAATCTCAATTTAATTTACTCTTTTTCTAATTCTTGAAATTAGAAAAAGATATAAAGTAAATTAAACTGAAATGAGATTGAAGTTAATTTATATTGGAAAAAGGAACATAAATGAAATTGTCCCATCATGTTACGTTTTTGAGATATTTTAGCTCAAACATGTCATTTTCAGCATATTAAGTTCATTTTTCCCAAACACATAACCTCATATAGCAATTTCATAGCAATTTTTACGGATTCATTTTCAGTGACAAAAAATCTGTATAAGAATCACTTGGTCCAGTTCGTAGTCTAGAAAAAATTTAAATTTGTCAGATAGTAATATTAAATTCATCTTTTCTTTTTATTCTTATTTTCAATGATCAAAACATTTTCTTGTGGATGATGATAAATGAAAAAACTTAACATTTTCGAAAAATGTGAATACCATTGTTATAAAGAATATAAAATATCATAAAACTTTTGTATAAAACATTCTTTCATATACCTCATGTTTTAAAGATATTCGCTGAAAATGAAAAAATCCGTTATTCTCGAGAAGTTGTTTCACCCTCTAAACCTTTAGATGCGCACATAAAAAAAATATGGGTCTAATATTTTTTTGTTTTATACTTTACAACAAATCCGAAGTTCATCAAAATCAGATAGTTCCGATAGTTCCCTTGTTAGTGAAATTAATGTTTCTAGATGAAACGGAAATGTGAAGTAAATTTGTGCAGTAAATTAAAACTCCGAGATACAATCGTCAGTGGAAAAAGAGCAAAAAAGGATAACGGGTCTCTCAAAAGCAAGAAGAAAAAGAATGGAACCGAACAATTTGCGAGATTAATCTGTCCGTCTCAATTTCCGTCTCAATTTCTTTTAATCCTTCTACCTCTCGCGGGGAAATGATAGCTGATAAGAAATTAATAAAGAGTTCTTATACAACTTTTGCAGTGCGCAAATTTAAATAATTTAAAACGCATGTCCTTTTCCTGTCTCTTCCTCCTTTTCGTTTTTAGATAAAAAAATTTTTTTTTGTTATTGAGAATGATATCTTTAGACGAGTGATATATTTAATTTTCTGTATATTTAATTTCTTAGCAAATATACGTTTAATTTCCTTCGATGCGCTTCCACCTTTCCGAATGTCGCGTCGCAAATTGCAGAAACGCTCCGAATTATCGCGTACAAGAGCAAAGTCAACATCGCGCGTCCATAAACGTATATGCCGGGAATGTATCTTAAAATGGAGAGAGAGCGAGAGTTCTCCAAACGATCCGGAGGGCAATTTTAGCGACGTGGGGAAGGGAGGATCGATCAGTCCAATTACGGGAAATGCGGGGACTCGTACCTGCATATTCTGCAGTTTACTTATTTGCTGACGGACCAGACGAACCACCTTGCATTTCGCGTGTTGACAGTTCGCCAGGAACTCTGCGAGATTCGCCGTGTGATCGTCCTGCTCGTCCCGCTCCAGATATCGGCAATCGCCGCATGTACGAGCGTCGCATATCATTTTCATTGGTATATCACAAATGATCCGTTGCGGCGCACAGGGCGATTCTTGTGATCTAAAAGGATCATTTTTCTCAGGATAAACTCGTCGCGGACACGGCTGAAGATGCGAGCAAGTTGGCGTGTAAATTGAATGGCGCGATCGACAGTTTTTAATCGACATTTGCAATTTCATGTGCAATTTCATGTGGATGTAGCGTAAAGGAAAATTGGCGTTTTATTCTCATTCCATTGATTCTCGCCAAAATGACCACATACAACAAAATCACATTCAAAGTTAAGCATTGTCCAACTAATAGCTAAGCATCGCAGAAATAACACAACACAAAGGCTACATTCGCTTTGAGCGTTTTCACGCTGTAAGCTTTATTCTATCTTCATCTCATTACGTACGGAAATAAGATAAAATTAAGCTTACGGCGCGTAAGCGTTCAAAACGAACGTATCTAAAGTTATATAGCGATGTAGTTTCAAAGTGATAGTGAATTTCAACTAAATTATGGCTAATGAATCTTTAGCAGGTATAGCAGACAAATAGCAATTACAGTTGCACGCATAATAGCAGTTGCAGCGGTTATGCGTCGCTTTTAAATATCTCCTGCAAACTGTATATGTTTGTATTCTTGTATATACGCGATGTATTGACTATTGTAATCCATTTACAATCAAAAATTTATATCAATGTATTTTTTTACCTTCATTCCAATCCGCTTCTCTATAAAAAGTTGCAATATTGCTTTATTTGCATTTCTCCATCTAAAAAAAATTAAGCACTTGTTTGGCGTAAAAATACATTTGGTAGCAAAAAATGTAAGCAAAGTACTGTAAAAAAAATATATTCTTCGATAACTGACGTTTCCATATTCGTCATCAGTAAAATTAAAAGATAAATAATAGATCAGGCGATTAATAAAAAAAAAACATGTTTGAAATTGGGTTGAATTCAATTTAAAGTCTAGTTATTAAAATTTTGATTTAATTCGCACTTATTCAATTGCTGCACACGGATCATACCAAAATGAGTAATCGTCAGGAATATTTTATTTATTTTTCATAAAAAGCCAAATTAAATATTAAAAATGAAGAGAGATAAATACTTTTTATACAATGTAGAGTTATAAATTTTTATTAAGAAAATCACAATTTAAACTTACAAATTTACAATTATTTTTCTTAAATTATATTATATATACAACGTTGTAAACTTTAAAAATATACATAAATATGTTACTGAAAATATATTCCATTAATACCAGAAATACTAAGCGGTCATTAGTTTAGATCGTTTCTATTTTTTAAATTAATATTAAATAATTTCTTGTGTAATAAGATTTGAAAACTTTATACTGATGAATTTGATATTTTTATCATTTTTTATTATTAATTAATTTGTTTGTTTAATTTTTTTAATGAATGCCACATTTTTTCTATTGTTTTATTTCCCTACTATTTATAATTTAGAAAAATTTCATACATAAATATATTTTAAGTCTATTATTATTATTATTATTAATTAAGTCTAGGTTTCTTCTCTGGTGGTGGTTTCATATCTTTTTTCTCAGTCTTCACTTCTTGCTTAATTTCTACAGCTGAAATAAAAAAAAATTATAAATAATATTAAAATAGAATCGTGTTAGAATTGAGAAATAAAAAATAAAATAGGCATATAAGTTATGCTATACATACAAGGTTCACTTGCTTGATGTACTGGCTTTGGCACTGGTAAAGGAAATTTACGAGTAAGTTCTGCAAGTAACATATCCACTCTCTGGCGTTGAAACAACGAGCTAGGTTCCTCGCGCACTGGCGTTTCCTTCTTTGCAGCCAAAGCCTTACCATTTTTGAAATCCCAAGAATAGCCTTTACTGGGGTGATATCGAGAACAGCTGCTTGCCTCATCGAAAGCAGATTGTAGGTGGTGAACTGTGGACAGCTATAGAAGATATCATCTTTCAAATATAACAATAACTAAAAATGCAATATATAAAATGCATAATGTATTAAAGAGGATACAAAAAATATTCTAATAATAGCCAAATCTTGATAAAAATTTAAATGTATATTTTTTCTTGCTCACCAATCTAGAACTCACAACGGATCCTAAATCTGGAGCTTGATATACAACGCCAGCTATAATATAATAATCGGCAACTGCTGAAGCTTGAGTTGGGGAATGCCTAAGTTGTTTCCTTATCACATATAGGATTGGCTCTTGCACATGCAAAAGAATATATTCCAAGCCAGTCATATTGCTAGGGAATAGCGAGCATTCATGAATATGTTTATCAATGTTTATGCTTGTATAAATATTTAATGTTGGGATTGATTATGACTTACTTCAGTTGATCAGGACTCAAACGCTGCATCTTGACTATCTCATTGTTGCAAGTCCTGTCGTAAAATGGATTGCTTCTTTCTGAGAAATAATCCATGATGTTGCTTGGATTAAGAACGGGAATCCAGGCGCTGTCATGCCAAGACAGACCCAAAGGATTCTCTATAAGAAGAGAATACGAAGAAATTCTCAAGTGTTATTAAGAACTTGAATATTGGTTAATGATTATATAAACACAATAGAAATTCATAGATCTTCACCTTGTACCGGAGTTTTTCCGGGCATCATCATCACATCTACTCAACAGAATTGTGTAAAAATTGCAATTAATGACACTATTATGTTAATCTTATTCCAATCGCATGTATTGTTCTTTCGACATTTCTTTTATTTACGTCGATTCTTGCGCACCTATTGATGCTTGTTGGCACTTTCAAGCTATAAGCATTATCGATAATACAATTTCCTTTAATATCTGCTGTAGGTAAAATTACTTTTATAATTTTTAATAATTAAAAAATTTGGAAAAAAATCATCGTACAAACTCCAAAATATCTTATAAAAATATCTTATAAACTTCAGACGTCTTTCTAAAACCTTCAAATCATTTTTAAGGCCACTCTTGGTTAAGATTTAAAAATGTTTTAACAATTTAAATTTTTTTGAAATAGAAAAATTATGTACATTGTACGACATAACAACCGTCGGAAATATTCGTGGATATGCGATTACATGTTTTATCCCCATGGAGGCGCCACTTGATACATTCCTCCTTGAACTGCCTGAAACATGTGAGCATGTCTACTGTCATCCTTATGCTCCGGTATTTCGGTGCGCGCCGTTGCACGACAATGATTCCGTCAAATTTCATTCGGTCTTGTTTCATTCGCCGTTCTAGTTGCGGCGATTTCCGAGTCAATAGCGTCGCGTGCGAAAGGAATGTCTTGTTATGAGTGTCTGGACCTGCGAACTCCGTGTGGTTCACAATATGACCACGATCGCCTGGTTTCCGAGAAAAATGCGCGCGAGGATCGCCGCACCGTCGACCCACAACGAACGACACTTCGCGGCTGATTCCATCGAGATACATCGCCGGCTCACACGCTGAATGGCAGAGGTAAACGATAAAAAAAATTGCAGTTTTGTTTCTGTCCAAACTTCCAGGAAAATTAGCCGAAAGATTTCTTCAAAAAAATCAAAAGTTAAGTAATTAATCGACGCCGCGTTTGACAAGTCAGCTGATTTGTGAATTTTTTTCGGCGTCACAGTGACTAGCTACAATTTACCTTATTCTCGAGAATTATTTTTTTGCAAGCAGGAGGTACGTTATACGACTTTTAATCGACTTAGAGTCGTAAAAAAAAATCATCACGGGAATCTCGCTACTCTGATTTTTGCATAAAAATGCTCGAAATTTAGTCGATTTATTGGTCTCGAGTTTCACATTCGCCGCTTAATCGCGAAATTGTCGCTTTCATAAACCTCTCCCCTCCCTGTTCCTTCCCCCTGGATTCACGTACAATTAAACATGAAGGTTAGAAAATTGCAACTCTTCCTCCCTCTCTGCGACGTGTACACGCACTCGCGCGAGTGAATCGCGTGCAGTTCGTAGTAACGATGAAACGGATTTATTGTTCTTTTTTTTAAATTGTTTTATTTTAAATTTCTTTTAAATGATCTATAACTTACGTAAGAATTCTATTTTTTTTTTAATGTGCATCAAAGTTCTATTTTTTTTATATATAAAAAGGATGAGGTATTTTTATTTATTTTTTTAAACAATATATAACTTTTGTTAAAATTTTATTTTATTTTATTTAAGTAAAAAGGATAAAATATCTTTATTTCTTTTTTTTTAATAACTCATAACTTCATCGAAATTTTATTTAATTTTATTTTAAAAGGATATCTTTGTTTATTTTTTTAAACGACATATAATTCGCGTAGAAGTTTTATTTCATTTTTTAAAAAAGTTAGGATATTGTTTATTTTTTAAAATGACCTATAACTGTTAAAGTTCTATATTTAATTTTTTTTTTATAAAAAAGATGAGATGTTTTTGTTCAGTTTTTAAACTATTTATAATTCATGTAAGGTTTTATTTTATTTTTTTAATAGAGTGGGATATATTTGTGCATTTTATTAAATGTCTGTTTACGTTAAAGTGCAATTTTTTTCTTTTTTTTTTAATAAAGATATTTTTTTTGTATATTTTTTTTAAATGGCTCAATAATTCGTATTAACATTCTATTTCGTTTTTAATAAATAAGATATAGGATATTTTTGTTTAGTTATTTAGATCTATCGATGTAAATTGGATCTAATAAACATATTTTTACGCTTGCATTTTTACGCTTGCATGCAACATTTATTTTCTTTCATAATTGAATAATGGATTTTTTTTATAGAATAAATTAATTCTGATAATTAATTTCTGCGACAATTATTGAGCGATAATTTGAACTTTATTATTGAAACATAAACTCTTTCTTATTGATTTTTTTCTTTCAAAAATCGTGACTTTCTCTTTGTTCCTTTTACAAGAATTATACATACATGTTTCACTATATGCAAGAGCTCGTCATTGTAATTTCAATCAAGCAAATAGACGTCTTGCTTATAGCTCTCACGAAGCCTCATCGAGTCGACGAATCCGGATTTAAATTCTCGAGCAAGACAGTTCAGTTGGTGCATTTATTCGTGGCGTGTTGTCGAAGTAAGCGTCGCTTAAAAAATTTATAAATTAGCAATATTTATTAATTCGATTCATTCAACACGTTACAGAATGAACTCTGGAGGGGGTGATGACATCGAAAAAAATAGCATTGAATAGCAATTATGTAACGAGGATATAAACAGGATTTGTAGGTACATTTCTAATTACATTAATAACCATCACTAGTCTGTAGATCTTAATTGGAGAAATCCGGTTCTATTCTAATTTAGGATGGTAAATAACTGTTTCTTTGAATGTTTATTATTTACTTTAGGTAGAATATAAATTTTCATTAAGATGCCCACTTTCATTAACGATAACGTGTTGTATAAACGATACAAACTATAATAGCGGTAAAAAGATAATGTCAGTTATTAAAATATCGAATAATATTAAAAGCCAACAAAAAGAAAAAAAATGTGAAGAAACAATTAAAGGAAGAGCTTATATTTCTAAATCGCAAATTACATTTTTTTTAAATGCATAATTTCATATTTGAAGGAGAAGATGATTCGTATTGGTCTCTTAAAGAACATAAGCTCTTGCTACGTTTTTCGTTATTAGATTGATTCGAAAACGATGTATTTTCGTAGGTCCCGTGATGGAGGACTACACGCCGATTGATGAGGACTTCCCGGGTCGGTTGCTGCACCAGGCCGCGCTCTGGGACAACGCTGAGTTACTGGAGGATCTGCTGCGCGGCGAACACGCGCAATACATCAACAGTAAGGATTCGTGGGGTAGGACGCCGATGCACGCGGCCGCAATCACGGAGAACTCCCGTTGCCTAGATGTCTTGTTGACCGCTGGAGCTGATCCGAACGTCACCTGCGGTCCCCGCGGTCATCATCGGACACCACTGCATGTTTGTGCGGAACATGGCCATGCTGGTAACGTGGAGACACTATTGAACTTTGACGCGGATCTCATGATCCGAGATGATGACGGTTTGAAGCCTATCGACATAGCCGAGAAGAGCAGTCACGACTCCTGCATTCATCTCCTGAGAGCGGCGGCCGAGAAGTATGAGCTTGCGAAACAAGCGACTCACGCTTCCTTACGTGCAGCTTGTATTCAGGGTGACACTGTGGCCGCTCGGAATATCATCCAGAGTTTGTCGACCGATCTTGAATGCGTGATAAATATGGCGCCGAACGGCACCAACACGTTGCTCTTCGTTGCCTGCGAGAGCGGTCATAAGGATATCGTTCGGCTGTTGCTGGATCACGGTGCCGACTGCAGGATCCATCCGGTCACCAAATATTGTCCACTTTACATAGCGTGTTACCACGGCAAATTGGAGATCGTCGAGCTGTTACTCCGACATTTTCCCAAGCAGGTGCAACAGCTCACGGTAGAGCGCTGGCTGCCGATTCATGCGGCGACAATAAATGGCCACCACTTGGTGATCGACGTATTGCTCAAATTTGAATATCCGCAGCATGTCTATCAACGCTACAGGGATCCGTCCGGTGAGTTCGAATACGAGTTACCGTTCGACATCAACGCGCAAGACGTTACTGGCCAGCATGCACTATATATAGCTAGCATGCTGGGCAACGTCAAAAGCGTCGAGCTATTTTTGGGTTACCGAGTGAAAGCGAGGACGACCAAAGAAGAAGATGGCGTGAATGGCGCGCAACAACTTTCGGTGTCGAAGCGCAAGATTTCCAGTGGTATTCAGAGATTGATGTCGTCATTGAATTTCCGCAGTAAAGCGTCCACAGATAAAAAGGACGATAAAATGATATATCCGGTGAATCTGGATCTTTATTGTAACAATGGTAGCGAAACAGCATTGCATGTAGCCGTCAGAGGGAAACATACCGAGGTGGTAAATGCTCTTCTTCAAGCGGGCGCTAATCTCGAATTACCTGTCAAAATTCCATACGATCAGAACGATCCCGACGGTAGTTATTCGAGCGTATTGACGATCGCATGTCAGAATCGCGATGTGAAAATTGCGGATCTATTGCTGAAACATGGCGCCGTCGACAATGAGTGCAAAGCGCTGAAAATTGCTGCACAGAACCGTGACGAGGCGTTGACTGCGAAACTGCTGTCGATCAAGGCTCATCCGGATTCCGAGTATAAGATCAATAAGAAGGCGATGACCGAATGCACGCAGAGCTCACACTTCTCTGCTTTGTCATCTTTCGGTCACGTCACTTATTCCACGCTGTTTCCGAAAACGCCCACGATGATCAATTGGCACAATCAGCAGTGTCATCTCTCGCAAATCCGGTTACAGTGGTTGATCGACGCAGTATTGCATGTCAACAAGAAACTGAGTTCGAAGAATAATGATCTAGTGTTGTATGCCATCACGCGGATTGACATCTCTCTCAACTCCATTACCTCCGTACCGTCTACCATATTCTATTTACAGAGTCTGCGGTATCTCAACATGGCACAGAACAAGATTGACACTCTGACGGCTGACTCGAAGAATCCAAAGGACAAGCTGTGTCCTGTTCTGGAAGAGATGTATTTACAAGACAATCGACTGGAACAGCTGCCAGAATTCATTATGAACTTACCGGCACTTGAAATTATGGACGTGTCCAACAACAAACTGCAGTGTTTGCCACAGAATTTATGGCGTGCACCCAAGCTGAAGGAACTGAACGCCTCGTTCAATCTACTGCGTGATCTGCCCAGTCAGGCATCGCAGAATGTCTTAAGGAAATCACAGCGAGGTGAAGAGGCACAACAAAATGGTACCAACTTTCGCGGACTGGCTGCTGTGCCGCGAATAGAGTCCATGGAGTTCGACTCCTTCACAAAGATCGCGAACGCACAGATAATCGAAATGGAAAGGCCACATGTATGGATCAGTTCGGTCCAGGTGTCGGAGAGGATGACCGATGACACGGAGAACGGTAATAAATCAGTATTAGCGTCATTGAATCTCGCGCACAACCTTTTTAACAGCATTCCCGTGGCGTTGCCATGTTTAGCGGTGAGCTTAGTGCGACTAAACATGGCGTACAATTCTCTACGCTCGATGAGCCACATTACTTCATATCCAGCGAGCTTAAAACAGTTGGACCTATCAAACAATCAGATCACGCGATGGCCCAGTCTACCGCAAGTGGACAGCTCTGACAGTATGGAACAGGCGAATACAGCCTGTTATTGTCCGGCTGTCAACACACAATCGCCTAGTATTGTGCCCGGTAATCGACAAACGCCCACATCGATGCGTGATATTGTATTGCAATCGGTATGTGTACATAGACGGCATCTACGACTGGAGAACCTGCGCACGCTGATCTTGGCGAACAATCTACTGAATCGTATTCAGTTGACATCATGCGACGATGGTGAGATGCCATACTTAGAGGAAGAACGCGGGGATTCAGATAGAGATCCAAAGATCGGACATTCCGGATCGAAGCTGTACTTGCTCTTTCCCAATGTCAGTATGTTGGATATCAGCAATAATCAATTACGCGAGATACCGCACAACATCTACGAGCTAAATAATCTATCAGTGCTGAACATTAGCGGCAACAATGAGATTGTTGAGTTGCCACCACAGATGGGTTTGCTGAGTCGCCTGTGGAATCTTAATACACAAGGCTGCCGATTACAGGAACCACTCAAATCAATGATCGAATCAAAGAAATACAAGACGATGGACGTGATCGGTTACCTAAAGTCTATCCTGGAAGACGCAAAGGCGTATGCGCGCATGAAATTGATGATCGTTGGTATTCAAGGAATTGGCAAGACGAGTCTGCTGGAGCAATTACGACAGGAGGGCGAAGTACCGAACAAGAAAAAGGCATCCGAGCACTGGGCCAAACGGATGGGTAATAAAAACATCAACGCGAAAACTGCCAAGGGTACGACCATCTCGACCGTGGGTGTGGATATTGGTGATTGGATTTACGAGAAGAAAGTGCGCGGACAATCGTCCCACGGACCGGTTTACTTCAGGACCTGGGACTTTGGCGGTCAACGCGAATACTACGCGACGCATCAGTATTTTTTATCAAAGCGCAGTCTATATCTAGTCGTGTGGCGGATCACGGACGGTTTCAAAGGCGTCTCCGAGATCTTTCAATGGCTAGTGAACATTCAAAGTAGAGCGCCTAATTCGCCGGTTATCATTGTCGGCACACATTACGATGTTTCTTATGAGCACAGCGAAGGCCTGCAACAATATATTCGCGACAAATTTATTAACGTGGTCGATGCTGAGAAGTGCGGTCTACCCAAAGTCATGGAAACAATCGAAGTGAGCTGCAAGACGCGTCATAATATTAAGATGTTGTGCAATCTTATCTATGACGTTGTCTTCAGTTTGAGATCGCCTGGCAGCAAGGAATTGTTGCTGGAACAGAAGGTTCCGGCGAGTTATTTGGCGTTGGAAGACGTAGTGATCCAACTGGCGCACGACAGGAAACTGTCCGGCTTGGATCCGGTGCTAAAGGCCGATCAATATTATGCAGCGGTTAATAATGAACTTCAGAAGTTGCACAGATCCTTCAGAGACCCTGCCGAGTTACATCAAGCGACGTTATTCTTGCACGAGAACGGGATAATCCTTCATTACGATGACGCAACATTGAAAGATCTCTATTTCTTAGATCCGCAATGGCTCTGCGACATGTTAGCTCACGTGGTCACCATAAGGGAGATCAACCCGTTCGCCAGGTCAGGTATAATGAAACTGGACGATATTCAACACGTATTCAAATCCTCCACGATATCATCGATTGATACCCAAGGCTATATTGTTAGCTTGCTTAACAAGTTTGAGGTTGCTTTGACATGGGATTGCCGCACGCTACTGATACCATCTCTCTTACCAACTGAAGAAGATATTTTGCGCAATAATCAGATAATCAAGGTGCCAGTGAAGACGCGCGGTTGGCATGTACGTGTGAAGAAGATCACGTCGCCGATGTTCGCGTGCTTGAGTGCGCTAACCAGTGACAATAAAAATAATGCCGAATGCGTGCTCACGTCGAGATCGCAGCCCGATTGTTCTGTCACTAGACTATTACTTATGTCATATTTTCCCAGTGGTTTTTGGTCCCGACTGATCACTCGAATCCTCGCGGATGATGCCATTGTCGATATCGTCATGTCGTTTCTAGCGCCATTCAAAGATTTTGTCGACGACAATATTTTCGCTAGTTTGCTAGATCTACAGGCCGAATGGGTGCTCTGGCAGACGGGGATTGAACTGCGATACTCGGGCATTACCTTATTACGTCTAAAAGAAGTCTGCTATAATCTAAAGAACTCGCCGTACGATTACAGACAATTTAAGTTCAAGTTAAAACAAGATGGTATTTGGTGCACAGTGGATCTGAAAAATTCCGCCATTCTAGAAATTTGGTTTCCAGTTGATACCCTGGTGATTAAGCAGCCCATCATGTCCGATTCTGTGGACGAGGAACCGATGGGCTACCAAGCGATCGTGGTAGAGCCACGGCCAGAAAGTATGCCACAGTTGATGGCATTGATCGTCGATCACATCGACATCTTACTGGAAGATTGGTATCCGACACTAGGCACGCGTTTCGTCCACACATCGGAAGGTAAACTGCTAGTCACAAGATTGATACCGTGTCCGCGTTGTTTACTCGGCAACACCGAGAATGGCGATGGCGAATCAAGCGACAGCGATGGTCGACTGATCGAAGACATCCAGAAGTACTGCGCCATGAATCGCACCGAAAGGCAGAGTCAGGACAGCTACAAGTCCGACGGTGATAGCGGTGTCGGTTATGATAGTCTGACGTCCAGCAGAATGCCGTCACTCGAGGGACATCCGGATATGTCAAAGCAACAGAACTTGAATCCCGAGAATACTCTTGCATACTCTTGGATGGTGGAGGAATGCATACTGGCAGCGTATAGCAACAAACCTATCAGTTGTCCGAAGCATTCGGAGATTCCGTTGTCGCACGTCGCGCCAGACATCATCTTCATGGATTTGGGCGTCAAACACCTGATTAAGTCGGAGGATTTGAAGAGGGGCAAGTTATTAGGTCGTGGCGCCTTTGGTTTCGTCTTTCGTGGCAGCTGCCGACTACCTGGTACGCATGTCCGCACCGACGTGGCCATCAAAATGTTGCAACCAGTCTCGCCGGGTCCAAATTCTACGCAATCGGCAATCCTTGCATACAAAGCATCACAAAGTAAATGGGACCGTGACCCGCTGCAGTACGCTTGCAAAGCGTATTGTATGGCGCGTCAAGAGCTCAATATTTTGCTAACACTCAGGCATGCTAATATCGTGCCGCTAATAGGTATAGTCGTCAGTCCTCTGGCTCTTGTATTGGACCTGGCACCTCAAGGCGCGTTGGATGCCGTTCTGAAGAACTATCGTCGTTCCGGTGCTAAATTAGATCCTTATACGCTTCAGGCGATAATCCTTCAGGTCGCTAAGGCTGTGGAGTATCTACATCAGCAACATGTCATTTACCGCGATCTCAAATCAGAGAACGTATTGGTGTGGCAGATGCCGTTACCATTTCAAGAGAATCCGGAACCGGCGCACGTCAAAGTCGCTGATTATGGTATTTCGAGACTGACGCTGCCTACAGGAGCGAAAGGTTTTGGAGGCACAGAAGGCTTCATGGCGCCTGAGATCATCAGATACAATGGCGAGGAGGAATATACGGAGAAGGTGGATTCGTTTTCATTCGGCATGTTCATCTATGAGCTTATCACACTGCGTCAACCATTTGAGGGCCACGAGGCGGTGAAGGAGTGCATTTTGGAGGGCGGTAGACCACCGCTCATGTACCGTGAGACTTTCCATCCATGCTACGCGCTCGATTTGATGGTGATATGTTGGGCACAGAATCCGAAGGATCGACCAACTGCCAGTCAGATTGTCTCAATTGCCTCCGCGCCCGAGTTCACGCATTTGATAGATGTTACTCTGTTGACAGAACGCACGCAGGTGACTGCGGTCACCATGACTAATCATTGCGGTAGCAGCGGGTCAAATGATGCAACAGAAAATCTAAACAGCGATGAGATCTGGTTTGGACACAATAATGGTGAAGTAGACATGCTGTTAGGTACTCAAAAGGGCTGGCTGCGCCACGTACGCATTGAAACACCTGTGATACCGTACGCTATGTGCGGCGTAGATGGCTATATCTGGATTGGCGACAATGCCGGTCAGATACACGTCTATTTATGCGGTAACTTTGGTTGTGTGGCCAGTTACAGTCTGGAGGCAGATCACAGTCGAGAATCTAAAGTAGTCGGGCTGATTCACCTGGAACAGTTGAAGCAATTTGCTGTGGCTTTGCACAGTGGCCGGATCTTTTTGCTATCCAACACGTTCATGCAGATGAAGAAGACTGAGATCACTGGCGGCAGCAATGGCACGGAAATGACGCGCCACAATACTGACATCAAGACCTATTCGCTTGCCGCAGTCTGTCGCAAGAGACGTGTGCTGGAGCTCTGGGCTGGCCAAAGTTATGGCCGGATATCCATTTACACTTTAAAAGATGGCAATCTGGCTGACACGACGCAGCTGTCTCACTGCTCCGCCAATGACGCCGCGATGAAGAATCTGTTTGCCACGTATCTGATCGGCGTGACAACCGAGAGTTTCATTTTCTCGTACACATATCCAGGCTGCGTCGTATATCAATGGGACGTAGACAGCCGACAGATCATCAATAAACTTGACATGTCTAAACTGGTACCATGTTCCGAGTCTCTCAAGTCCATCGCTATCGAGGAAAATTTATCGACGGAAAAGTGTCAGGTGACTGCACTCGAAGCCAGCTGCGGTCAGTTATACATCGGCACTACCTGGGGCTGCATCGTCGTTGCCGAGTGCGGTACCCTTCGTCCTGTCACTGTGTTCCGGCCGTTCGAGGGCAAAGTCTGCCAGATTGTGTCCCTCAAATCCACCGACAAAAGGAAGACAGTACTGGCGACTGTCGGACAGGGATATCGCAGCCTGATCGCGCGATATACTGACTTCTCTTTGAAGAGTCTGGAGAACGAGGAACTCAGGCACGGTATGTACACCCTGCTTTGGAGATCGGAAAATTGGTCGGCAGCTTGATTCCCTCGGAGATCGTAAGGTCCACATCCTCAGGTGCATTTGACGATCGTTTTTTAGCATTACACGCGATCCGTCTGACTTTATCTTATACAAAAATAATGATATAATAAATAAGTTACATTTAATACAGAATGCGTAGTGAAAAGACAGATCTACTCTGGTCCAGTCATTTTTCAATGAGTACCGATAAAAAGTTTTCATTGTATGAAAATTCGGTACCAATATACGAATGATTATAATTTGATATGGCGAAAATTCGAAGAGCGATGAAGTTCGTGATGAGATCACACGGTTCTCTTTTTCGGCAACATAATACCGGAAGTGCTTAAGTGGTGCGAGATTCAATTGAGCAATATATGGGTTCAGCAGTGAATCTTATACGTCCAATATTATAGTATCTAGTACGTAAAGGATGTCGATTGCGCTAATAAGTGTGCTCGAGAAAGAATATTATAAAGAAATATTTATAAAGAAAAAGGAAATGACATTACACGGAATTCGAGTTTTCCCACGAGTACTCTTATTAACGAACACCCTGCATCACAGGCTATAAGCTGATATTCTTTCGTTCGTCCATAGCATTACCAAGTATAAAAAAAACATTCTTATTTTGTATAAAACTAAATCTTAAGCAAATAATCTAATGATATTTTAACATACGTTTCTGCTTGCGTAAGTATATAATCGGACTCTACAAGAGTCGCGCTATATAAATATTTATATAACTAATGGAAGAGATAAGGTAATGCAATCTGTTTTTCGTTATTGCAAGATACGCATAAAAGAAGGAAAATGTTTTTCGAATATTAATTGATATTAACTGAGCTGGTTAGATAACAAAGAGCTATTTTTAGCATCACCAATATTACTTTTTATAATATCTCGTTAGTATTAAGATTTCGATAAGTTTTACTGCTGAAATTAACGTCGTAATCTTGAGTCGATATAGAAATATTTCTAAATCATACTATCTTCGCGATTTAGTTACATCATGTCCAAAATAATATCTTTCACTGTACTGTAAGTTTTTACAGAGATTAAAGTTGCTTCCTTTTTAGGAACACAGTCTTAAGTATCGTTTTATCTTTATCATTGAATGCCGAGAAGGGTAGAATAACGTTTATGTCTCCTAAAAGGAAAGCAGCCTAACTCTAACCGAACCGAAGGTTGTGGGACATGATGTAAATATATATTAACATTAATCTACTATAATACTACAAGAATACACATACACATTAGAAGCATCTTGCTCAATAAAATCATTAGTGCCTGTATTTCCACCAATGTAGATTAATTTCAAACTTTTCATCTTTTTCTAAAAGCCAGTTTTCATCATTTTGATTAACTTAATAGACCGATTGTTTTATTGGAATTAACCATTACAGTTGACACTTCAATCAATCAATCAAGTTAATGTACAGCCAGCTCTAACTCTTAGAACTAGAAAAAGATGAAGAATAAGTTGAACCGAGATTAATCTGTATTGGTGGAAATGGGCATAGATCTCGATTCATTTTATTTAATTATACGAATAATCAGTGTATCCCAAACGTAATCGATGTGATATGAAATACTCAGTGAAAGAAAGAACGTAAAATATTGTCATAAAAAAATTATTATATTATACAATATTATTTTTAATTATAATGCTCTTTAATTACACTTATTGATAAGGTCTTCTATTTACTAGAAATTTTCTTTTGCTTGATAGATATTCGTTTCTTCTCTATATATTTAAGCATTTTTGATATCTTTGAATAGCTTATAGCAATAAAATAAAAATGGAACGTAACATTGTAATACTATATATTTGCACATTTAATTCGCCCGTAACTCATTTAAACGAGAAGCGGCATTTAAAGGGCTAAATGGATATTAGTTTTAGGAAATGTGATGTGGTTGGCCGAGAATATTTTCAATAATGTATGATGTGTACATCTTTGGCTGTTATTCTCGAACCGACGCGTTCGGTGCGTTGATTCTATATCTTTAATTTATATGCAGCGTATTTTATATTTATTTTTTTAACTTTGCTCGTACCTGCAGCGCGTAATGCACAGTGATATACGCAGCTTGTATCCCCTTTTTTATAATATGACTATTGTAAAGAAATGTAATTGAAGTTTGGAGCGTTCGTGGAGCGAAGATTAAAAGTAAGCCCAAACTAAACAGACAGACAATTGATCTCTCGTATGTACGTATTATCGAAAATTTTCTATGCTTTTTCCTGTGTTTGGAACCAAAATAGGATAATGTCTGAAATCATTGTAGAAAAAAATAATTCGTTGAGATCCCGAAAGGGATCCGAATAATTCAAAAGTCCCGCGCGTACCCCTGTATGTGCGATCGCAAATTTCCTGTCCTGACGTTTGTCCCGGCGATCGATGTTAAAATCAAGTGCGAGAGCAATGCCTAAGATTATTGACGCATCAAACGTCAATCACAGTAAAGGAATAGAAATTATCCTATACAATTATTCTGCATTCGTTTATGCAGCGATTAGCGTTTATGCGGTTTACGCAGAAGTATTATTCACCGAGTGTTAAACAAGGATTAAATGATATTCTTTGCGCTAATCGCTGCGTAAAAGAATGCACCCTTATTGTCACATATGCCTTGAAATATGATTAATGTTGTGTAACGAATAATTAATTATTGCGACTGAAAATTTTATGCGATTGATCTCCGTATATTATTGTAAGTATATCATTGTAAATTCATGTTTATTCATTGTGAGAATCATTATGATTATCATCTCATACTTATCGACGTAAGTTATAACTTTGCAGGAACTCATTGTTAAATGTATTGTTTAATGTATTGATTGTCACGAAATATAAATACTGTTGTTGAACAAGACTCATTAATTACATCTATTTTTATAACAATAGCATTAGGATAGCATTTAACGTAGACATTCAGATGTTAAATAATGAGATCTTTATTTACAACAGAACTTACAGTAAGAATATATTTTTCTAGGCACTAGAGCTTCTAGATGAATCAGAACTTGATTCATTCTCTTTTCTTAACTCCATTTTTATTTCCATTTCAGAAACGTACTGCTCCATCGCCCGCTCGTATGTTTTATCTTCTAATAGTTCTTCCTATCAATTAAAGATATTCTTAGTATTATTAAAAAATTAATTTAATCGATAATAGATGGAATAATTTACCTTTTGTATCGTTTGGTATATGGACAGAAAATTCTGCGTTGCAGATTTTACATTTTCGTTTGCCAAATTAGTAGTTGGTATAAATTTCTGATCTTTATGAAATCTTCTGTAACAGAAAACATATTTACATATCATAATATAAATATTTTATTGAACATATTAAGATGTCTTACGATCGAATAAGATCCTCTTTATAAAAGATAGGTGTAACTGGCTTCTTTGGCAATCGTCTGTCGAATCTTGGTTCGTATTTCGGGGGAAAAGCTTCATACACTACCAACCACAATGGTGCGTCTTCCTCTTTTATAGCTTTACCTTTTAATAATGAAGCAATTCTGAAATATATTCTTATTATTAAAAAATGCTTAGATTATTCATTTTTAAAGTATAAGAACCTAGATATGATGAAAAGTACAAGCATAATAAATAAAAGTACAGATAATAAGAAGTAGAGGAACAAGGAATAACACACAATAGATTTCAAGCTATCAGAAACTGTGTACCAATGTATAGCAATTTTTGGTAAATTGAAATTTATCATGTATTATTTCCTATTTCATGGGCATACATTTGAAATATTTTTATTTAAGACACATTATTTGCAATACAAGTATATTTTATATTTCAGTAGAGCATATGAAAGTATTACATATTTTGTATTTAAAATGGAAAGATTAAAAGCTTTTGTATTTTGTAATTCAAATAATAAAATTGTCAATTTTAGTATTCAAAATACAAAATACTTCCAATCTTTTGTTATTAATGCTGAGATACAAAATACTTTTATATGCTTTCATGAAATACAAAATATATTTTCAAGTATTTTACTGAAATATAAAATACAAAATATTATTGTCTTATATATACTGTTTTTCAAATAAAGGCTTTTTTTAAATACATGCCCTACTCTATTTGTATTTCTAACTGTGTTTTTCATTATGTCCCAAGACCACTAACACTAATAGATTTAAGAGCTTCTAAAGAGAAAACTTGTAAACTTAAGTTCTAAAGATGATGTGATGCATAAACAATTTAATACCAAGATAATATCTATAATTAAGATAAAAAAATAAAATGTTGTTACTCTGTAGTTTCTTAACAACTGCCAGATTATTTCTAAAATAATTTTGAATGTGGACTCACCTGGTATATATAGTGCCAATTTTTTCTAGTCTGCTTTGTGCCATCGTATATTTCTTTGACGAATAGATTTCCACGAACAGATTCAAAACAAAATTAAGGGTCAACCCGCTTAACTTTGCGAACTGGACATTCACAATCTAAAACATAACCTTTCAAGCAATCGTCAAAACATATCATCGCCATTTTTAAAACGTTACAGTCCGAGAAACATGACAGCAAATTCCCTAAAAATTACACGTGGAACGACTGGAGTTTTTTTGACGCAAAGATTTAGAGCTCGCATGTGTTTTCCCGCGTAAATGGCAGAGAGTGATTTGGAGTGGTTTCTCTTTCAAAGGATTTCGGTTTTCCTAAGTATTTATTTTACGAGAATTTACAGCGCGATAAGTGTCCATTGCCCACTGCAAAAATGGATACGGAATTCGATCAGAATCTGGAGCAGATAACGCGCGAATATGTTGATTTTCTGGACGATGTGGTAAGTATCGTCAAAATTTATTGTTTATAACATTTACTTAGCTACAATTTTTAATTGTATTTTAATTCTCTGTAATAAATTTTTTTGCTTATGGAAAAAATATGTAATATGATAAATGAAAAATAATTAATAAATCCCTATAAGAAATAATATAAGTACTTAGATAAGTATGTAACTTCATCCTTATTTACAAGTCACATGGCGTTATTAAATGTCACATTATTATTATACTAAGATCATATTTACTTTTGTGCTTGATACTTTTATGAAATCTTTGTGCTCGTTATTTTTGTAGGAAGACCAAAGCATATATGCCACTATGATTAAGAATATGATGCAGGAAGATAAAAACAGATTGGTCGTAAACATCAATGACTTAAGAAGAAAAAATCCTGCTCGTACAGCAAGGTATATAATAAATTTATCTCTTTAGCTCTTACCAATATACAGCATGAACAAATTATGTAAACTGTAAAATATTAAGGGTAATTATAAGAGTCAATTATGTTGCAGCTTGTTGAATAACTCCTTCGAGGAGCAATTGGCATTTCAGAACGCCCTGAAACAATATATCTCAAGCATAGACACTGATTATGCCAAAAGCAACAAAGAGTTCTTCGTAGCTTTTGAGGGCAGTTTTGGAAACAAGCATGTCACACCGAGAACACTTACTTCTCGTTTCCTGGGTAACTTGGTATGTGTAGAGGGTATCGTTACAAAATGTAAGTAATAGAGAAAAGTAAAGAAAGAATTTAATTTCTGCATAGAATTATAGAATTTATCTGTAAGTCTGAGCATATAATTTTGTATTAATAGATTTATTTAATTTATTCGTGTGTTACATTTATCAAGTTTTATATTTATAAAAATTATATATTTATGAGAATAACATCACATTTATGAAATAAAGATACTGAAAGAGCGAATTTAATTTTTGCTTCAGACTTATTTATAGAATTTATTAGATTCTATTTATAATTCTTCTTTAATAGATCGATTCATGTGTTAAATTTGTCAAGTTTTATGAAATTTATATTTATAAGAATATTTTATATAAATAAAAACGTTTATCATAGGTTCATTAATACGACCGAAAGTTGTAAGGAGCGTCCATTACTGTGACGTGACCAAAACAGTCCTAGAAAGAGCCTATTCAGATCTAACTTCCTTGGAGGCATTTCCTCACTCTGCTATCTATCCAACTACTGTAATTATTTCTGCCATTTAAATGAAATGTAAAGAAGTATTTGTTGTTTAGTTTGAAGATTCATTTTTCTGCTTAATAGGATGAAGCTGGCAATCCACTTGAAACAGAATTTGGTTTATCGACTTACAAGGATCATCAGACACTCACTATACAGGAGATGCCGGAAAAAGCTCCAGCCGGTCAATTACCACGAAGCGTGGATATAATTTGTGATAACGATTTAGTGGACTTATGCAAGCCTGGAGATCGAGTGCAGATTGTTGGAAACTACCGATGTCTGCCGGGAAAACAAGGCGGATATACAACCGGAACTTTCAAGTATGTTCAGATAAAAATCGAGAATTGTTTTCCAGTTTAATTAAATCTCATAATTCGTATATCTTTATCTTAAAATTCACTGGTATAATTATCATGTGTAGGACCGTTCTAATCGCTAATAATATAATGCAACTGAGTAAGGAAGCTAATCTTGCGATCACCCATGACGACGTAACTATGTGCAAGAAATTGGCTAAGAACAACCCCTGCAAGAATATCTTCGAGCTTCTCGCCAAGTCTCTTGCGCCATCCATACATGGCAATGAATATATAAAAAAAGCGATTTTGTGCCTTCTTTTGGGTGGAGTGGAGAAGATTTTACCAAACGGTACAAGGTTGCGAGGGTAAGCTTTTACACAATTTATAATTTCATTGAAAAACAGACTTCAAAATCCTCAATAGTTTTGTGCACATTGCAGTGTTCACTAATGATAATTGTGTAATAATATAATCGGATCTTTTTGATATATGCCAGAGACATAAATGTGTTACTAATTGGAGATCCATCAGTGGCCAAGTCGCAATTACTACGTTATGTGTTGTGTACTGCTCCACGAGCAATTCCAACTACTGGAAGAGGATCTTCCGGCGTTGGTTTAACGGCGGCGGTTACAGTCGATCAAGAAACTGGCGAACGCAGACTGGAAGCAGGCGCGATGGTCTTGGCGGACCGCGGTGTCATTTGCATCGACGAATTTGATAAGATGTCAGATATTGATAGGACGGCGATACACGAAGTGATGGAACAGGGAAGAATTACGATAGCCAAGGCGGGAATTCACGCCAGCCTGAATGCGCGCTGTTCGGTATTGGCGGCCGCGAATCCTGTGTATGGCAGAGTAAGTTCGGAATTTCATTTTAAAAAAGCTATTTGTATCTGATTCTGTTTAATGACAAAATTTAAACTTATACATTTCTATGTAATTTACGAAAAAGCTTGAATTGGATTCGCCTTTTAGCAAAAATATTTCTATATTAAAAATTGTATATAATTACTCACATAAAATATAATTATAATAAATTAATATATTAATTATTAAGTTGATTTTAAAAAATATGTGAATATTATTTAATGAAAGCCCACATTTTCAGTACGATCAGTATAAAACTCCCATGGAGAATATCGGCCTGCAAGATTCTCTATTATCGCGTTTCGATTTACTCTTTGTTGTGCTGGATATAATTGATTCGGATCAGGATCATGTAATTAGCGATCACGTCGTCCGAATGCATCGATATAGAAGTCCTCTGGAACAGGATGGGGAAGCTCTGAGTTTGGGCTCAAAGTTGGATATGTTGACTACGAAAAATCCGGATGATGTAGCTACCGAGGAGACCCAGTCGCAAGTTTATCAGAAATATGATCCACTTTTACACGGGCAAACGCGTTCTAAAAAGTAATCCATTTTTATCATACTATAATTTGTTACATTAAATATACGAGCTTTGGTTCAATCAATCTTACAACAATACGAAGCTCTAATTATGTAAATTTTATACAAGAAACTTATTTTTCTTTCTCAGCGACCAGATCCTCACCATACAGTTCATGAGAAAATACATACACATTGCACGGTGCATGAAACCTAAGCTCACGGAAGAAGCTAGCACTGTTATTGCAGAAGAATATTCGAGACTTCGATCGGAAGAAATGGTGGAATCTGATGTTGCGAGAGTGAGTAGAAGAAAAACTCCAGACTTGAATTTTAAAAATATACAAATGCGTGTCTAACATTTTTTTCGAATAATTAGACTCAACCGGTAACTGCGAGAACCCTGGAAACGCTGATTCGGTTGTCCACGGCGCACGCAAAAGCACGACTCTCGAAGAATGTGGAAAGCGAGGATGCATGCGCCGCGATAGAGCTCGTACAATTTGCTTATTTCAAACGCGTGCTGGAGAAAGAAAAAAGAAAGCGGCGACGCCATGATAGCGACGAGTCGGAGGCTGCAGACGAGGTAGAGGAGAACAAGCAGGCGAAGCGCTCTAAAAGGGCGAAAAGAACAGATTCGGATGAAGTCGATCCATACGAATACGATAGTGATGATGAATATATTGAACAAGCAACAAGAATAACCAGGTCACAAAAAGCCAGCACGCACACAGAGTCGCACAGCACGGAGACCGAACGTCCGGAATCTTCCGTTTCTGAAACAACCACCATTCCTCAAATAGCGACTGCGACAATCACGCAGGAAAGGTAATTTGTTAAATTAATTATGCTTTATGAATTAGTAGAATCATTTAATTAAATAATTATATAAATTTTATTTATATAATTATTACATAATGATAAAATTAATATAATCGTTAATTAAATAAATGACTTTCCCTCGCATGACTTTCTTTACGCCTTAAATTTTCAACATATTATTTTTATATTTTTATTTTATTACGTGCCTGTTAAAACAAATAAAAATAAAAGTTACAGAGAAAGTATAAATATTTATTAATTTTATTAATTTCTTTCTAATTTTAGACTTGCGATCTTCAAATCGTCACTTAACAAATTGTTCCAAGAACGCAGAGTTCAGAATATTCCGAAGACAGAAGTCATCAATCATCTAAACACAACACTTTCTCTGAACTTCACATCCGATGAAATTAACGCCGCTATTAACACTATGACAGATGCAAATCAGATTATGGCGGTGGAAGACCTTATCTTTTTGATATAAAACATTTTTATGTTTTATTATTACATTTTAAACAATAACCGAAGTAAGTGATATTTTTAGATTATTTATCAGGTAAAATAAAATTCCTAAGCACTCGCTGTAATTGATTAGATATAAGAAATCATTCATTATAAGTACAATGAATGATAAGGTTTTTTTTTTATAATTTATGCGAATCTTCTGGATAAATATTTTTTTATATCGTTTATAATTATTACTAGGAATCGAATAATATGTACACGTTTATAAATAATGGTATCTAATAACATTTATTTGCCCTATACTCGATAAGACAATACATTGGCACATAAACTAGCAACAATCATCAACATTCATTACAGTAAACGTAATGCGGCTTAAAACGTTAAATCCATTTTCCGCTTCTGTAAATATATTATGTATATGCATAACATTCATCGTACGTGTGTGCGTATGCTTATTATTGCGCTAACATCGATCGCGTTTTGCTAAAGGTTCGTTTCACAAATTTACTTGCGACCTACTCACACATCATCTCGTTACAAAAACTTACGACAGTATATTTAATATAAATGCTCCATTTAATTCTCGTATGTTCAACATACACAATATAGAGAGCCGATGCAATCGCGTTTTCAAAATAAATTATGCCCTCCGCTAAATAATTCTCCTGATTGCACAACCCTCCTATTCAGTAAAGCGACACCCGTAACAGCGTTACTATATTAATTAATTAATAACAGAGATAATAACATCAACGGTCACGCTAAAACTTTTATAATTGTCAATATCAAATCAATCGCGTAGATCTATGATACAGGCCTTTGGGACATATTCTTGTTGTAAGGAGGAAAGAATCGACGATCTGCAATGTCCAACATTTTCTTTTTTTTCTTTTTTTTTTTTCAGACAAAATCAGTACCCTCTTCACGACAAAAATATCTACGATGAATCCTATGCTAATTGTACTCACAGTTGCCCTTAATAACATCATAATCGACTTTAGCTACTAACTCTCACAATGTCACAATCAACTTCGTGTCGTACAAAATTTACTACATACAATTATAATTATCTCGAGACATTTTAAAACTAGCTGACGATGCATGAATGATAGTAGTACGCGAATGATGTACGAAAAAATTCTTCAAAACACATACATCGAAATCTTTTGACAAATTGATATTTCGAGGATTCAAGCATTTTTATATGAGTGATTTGACGGCAGTGATGTTCCGAATTCGAAAGTATATGTAAGTATATGTAATTCGCGAATATATGTATGTTTCGATAATTATAATTCTCTCTCTCTTTCTCTCTCTCTCTCTCTCTCTCTCTCTCTCTCTCTCTTCCGGTAGGAAATCGATTCTTCTAACACGATGAGCTTCGATAGAACGAAAGATTTGAATGTTTTTGTTCACTTTATGCACACTGTCTTGGACGTAGTAAAATATTAATATGGCTTTCAGCAGTGAGGGTGGCGAATTGCGATCGAAGCTCAACGTATTAAAGTTCCTCGAATTTGGGCGAGTGAAAATTATTAGGCACATACCACATTTCTCCTTGGATCTTCATCCTCACTGAATTACAAAATTCTTAGATTAAGAATTTGTCTTTTACAATTGCTAAAAGTAAGAATCGTCAGTTCACAATCTACTACGATTGTAATCTACGTCCATAATTTTGAAAAGTTCAGAGTTCGTCCTCGCTGGACTCGCTGCTGTAAGCCAATTGTTCCTTCCACCATTCTCGAACTTCCAACATGACGCTGGAAACTTTAGGCGCGGTTGCTTTGTTGTTCAACGCTTCCCTTGCCTGCCTGCTTTGCTCTGTATTTTCCGTTAAATGATGCAAATTATTTTTCACCATTGCTACAAAAAATAATCCAAAATAATTCTGCGCCAAAGATAATTAATACGATATATTGTATGTATAATACGAAAGCCAAGTGATTATTTTGGCTTACCTGGCGGTCTGCTATTCCTTTTCTTCGACACTGCGATCTTATCCTTCTCGGATCGAACGGATGCTGGATCCGATAAAGTTGGTGCTAGGTACTTTCTTCCTGAAGCACTTCCTATGCTGTCCGATCTTGGAAGCACCATCGGTTTCTTGGCCCTGTATTTTGGAGCTTCGACATCCTAATAGTTGAAAACAAGATAATAAACTTTTTTCATCAAATTATATTACTTTTTTGAAATCATAATGATGGTACAAATTCTAATTTTCATAAATAGAAGTTGATACTTAAAAATTTTTTAAACAAAAAATGTCACTATTGGATATCATTGATTTATGATATAAAAATATCAATTCACATTTTTCTACAAGAAATGCTTGGGGTGTAATAAAGTAAATAAAGTGTGAGATAAGACGCACCTTTATTTCAGTCTCCTCTTCACGATCAACACTAACTTCCTTGCCTTTCTCTTCTTTACCTTTCTCTATATCTTGAGGTGGCACAGCTGTGTTATTTGTAGCACGAAGACCCGCGATAAGATTGTTTTGTTTCTGCAAAGAAAAAAAATTATTATTTCTCTGATACGATTTCAGATTAAGTCATTCTCACCGCTCGTATCTTCTTCAGGCAGCCCTGTAACCAAGTTCTGATGGTTTGCTTAGCTACTTCCTCCTCAATTATATACTCGAATTCTTCCCGTGCAAGAAGTTCTTCCAATTGTAGCGCTTTCCTTATATCCACTGAGCGATACGATAACATACTAAAAAATTTTTATTAAGAAAACATTGTAAAATATTCGAATAATGTAAAATATAATGAATGAAAAATTCACGAATTGAAATATTTAAAACATCTAATAAAGAAAAAACTACGTCCTATAGAAAATCTGTCCTGAGAAAATCTCAAATATCTAAAAATTTTACTTAACAAGCTATAAATGTTTAATATTTCATTTACAATTCATATTGTAAAATTTACTTAATGACATCGTGAAAGGTAACATCTTCGCCATTGTGCAATCGTTCGAGTTCGTAGCACATGTATTTGAAGAGCAGGCGATCCTTTTGTGGATCGGTCTCCAATCTACCTTTCAACAATCGCAAGATAAACTTCACCTGAAATCCGCAAACATCAGTATTTGCTTCTTAAAAATTGTATTATTTCTAATATAACACGGATTCGCGATAAAATCATACCCGCTTCACCGGTATAACACCTTTCTGATGATTATCAACAACATTCCACGTGTTCTGAAAGTTCCTTATGTCTGCATACGATAATAACGCATCCTCTTCATTTGAATAGAATAAAGAAAAGTTCTCCATAATAATAGCTGTTCAAAAAGAAAAAATTTCAATCTTTGTTTTATTCCCTTTAAATTACTCTCTATAGACATCT